TGTTTTTTTTATGCAATTTGGTGTAGAATATACAATAATTTTTAATATTATTTTTGTTTATTTACAAAAATATCAAAATTTCAATTTAATTTTTTTAAAAGTAATAGATTTGTGGATTTGAATTCCTGTTGATACATACGAATTTTCCTAACAACCAACTAAGTTTTGTTTTACTCAACATGTTGGATTAAAGAAATTATGCAATAATTTTTCAATAGGTAGAATATATATAGTTGTAAACAAATACATATAAAAAAAATGCATTTACTACGTTAAAAGTGATTTTTAACAGCGCACATTAGACAACACTTTTGTATAAAAGCGTTGCTATAAGTGAATTTTAAAAAAAAAATACGGAAACTGTATAAAATAATTAGTAAAAACACTGCTAAAAATATAACCTTAGACAGGGCTTTTAAAAAGCGCTGCTAAAGTATTGCTTTAGAAAGCGCTTTATCATAAGCGCTGGTAAAGATCCACTTTAGACAGCGCTTTAAGAAAGCGATGTCTAAAGTCATAAAAAATAAAAAATAAAATTAAAAAAGCACTGTAAAAGGACCCTATTAGCCAGCGCTTTTCAAAAAGCCATACCAAGGCAACCAAAGAGGTGGTGTTGCAAATAGAGGAAGAGGCGGTGGTCGAAAAACTGATAAGAGTTACATTCAATGTTACAATTGTCAGAAGTATGGTCACTATTCGAGTGATTGTCCAGAAAAACAAAAGAATCAAGAAAGTGATGCCAAGCTTGTAAAACATGAAGAAGAAGAGATGATGTTGATGGTCACAACAAAAGATGAAGATAGATTCAAGGACCAATGGTACTTGGATTCAGGATGTTCATCACATATGTCTGAAAGGAAAGACTGGTTTGTCAACATAAAGCCCTCAACGAAAAATATGGTAAAATTTGCAAATGACAATACCCTAGCAGCTGAAGGTATTGGCGATGTTATGATTATGAGGAAAGATGGAAAAAGGTCAGTAATCTCCAATGTGTTGTACATACCAGGCATGGAGAGCAATTTGCTCAGTATAGGGCAGTTGGTATAAAAGAATTATAAAGTGACAATCGAAGATAAGATGATGAGAGTCGTTGATGAAAATGGGAGATTAATCTTGAAGGCTCCTATGTCTCAGAATCGAACCTTCAAGATTGAACTAAATATGATGGAGCACAAGTGCCTTTCGACTGCAGCTAGCAGAGATGAATGGATATGGAATTATAGACTAGGGCATCTCAACTTCAGAGACATCATAGATTTGAAGAGAAAAAATATGGTTTCAGGATTTCCTGAAATTGACATTCCAAATGAAGTATGTGAGGAATGTGTGCAGGTGAAACAACACAAGAATAACTTCAGCAAGGATGCATGAAGCAGATTGAAGGCTATTCTTGAAGTCATATACTCTGATGTATATGGACCAATCCAGGTGGATTTGATGGGAGGTAACAAATACTTTGTTACATTCATATATGATTTCAGTAGAAAGCTATGGACTTACCTGATCAAGAAGAAAATTGAAGTGATCGAAGTATTTGCCAAGTTTAAGTCTATGGTCGAAAGACAAAGTGTTTGAAAGCTCAAAGTTTTGAGAACTGATGGTGGTGGAGAATATGTGTCGAAAGATTTCAACAGGATATGTGAAAAGGAAGGGATTATGCATGAGGTGGTGCCACCCTATACTCAGCAACAAAATGGAATTGCAGAAAGGAAGAATCAAACCATCACGAATATGGTACGAAGTATGTTGAAAGGCAATAATTTACCTAAAGAGTTTTGGGGTGAAGCTGTTTCGACTGCAACATACATTTTAAACAGATGTCCTACGAAGAAGCTAGAAGGAATCACTCTAGAAGAATGTTGGTCTGGTGTGAAGCCTAGCTTGAGCCATCTGAAGGTATTTGGATCTATTGCACATAGACATGTGCCAGATCAGTTGAGAAGAAAACTTGATGACAAGTCAAGTCAAATGATTCTAGTTGGATATCATTCACAGGAGGCTACAAGTTGTTCGATCCAGTGAAAAAACAGATTGTGATCAGCAGGGACGTGATCATATATGAGTTTAAAGAATGGGATTGAACTTGTGAGATGAAGATTAATTGTAGGGAATTGAATCCTCTTTAAAATGAGCTTTGGATGGAAAATTTATGATAAATAATGTGGAAGTTATGCTTGGTCAAAGTTTGGTTGACTTTTACTAAGAAACCCTAATTTAGCAACTTTTGGATTTTGATGAATTTGAAGCATTCCTTGGGGAATCATGAACAACCTTTGATCAAATGATTAAAGTCACTTCAAAATTTTAATTTTGATCAAAAATCTTGAAGTTTAACTGTATGTGGGTCACAATTGACTTTTGACCTAATACAGTCGATTCTCAAGCATCTGAACAGTTGACTGAGCAAACTTCTTGTGCAAGGCATGGAACTTGACATATAGGGTCTTGAGAACTTATTAAGACCATGGAGAGCATATGAGACCTTTGGAGTCCATCTATCTTGAGGAAAATGGAAATCTTAATTTGAGGTACACTGTCTTAGGAGAGAGTTTGTATGGTCAACTCTTGGGCAATCTTGAGCAAATTGAAGATCTCAATGGACATGTATTGAGTAAAATGAGAGGGAAAATTTTGGGGTACAAAAAAACCCAATATGTTTAATTGAAAAATAAGCTCCTATCTTCCCTTGATTCGATTTGAAATAAGTATTTTACCAATCTTCGATAAACCTCCAGTTGTAGCTACCTTATTGAGAATCCAACCCGTTTCTCAAACCCTCAGCTCAGCCAATTTAATCGCAAGATGATGGCCCTAATTATTCCTTCAAAATCTTCTGATTGTAGCTACCTTGTTGAGCGAACCCACAGTTCCTCAATCCCTTAAGCACGACTTAATTTGATGAAGCAAAGAATTGTCAAGAACCCCCAAATTCCAATAATCTTGGAGGACAAAACCCTTAAATTTTATTCAAGAAAAACCCACAATTACTCAACCCGAACAAGATCACAATCTTCTACTTTGGACATTGTCAACACACGCTCCGCACCTTGATCGACAAAAATTATTATGTGTAGTTGTCAATGGATGAGTGAGAGGTTGAAGATGATGAATACCTTGTGTATCTATTTCACTTTTCTTGTTAAAAACCAAATGAAATAACCAAGCAAGTATATATATGTTATCTAAGATTAAGACCCAAACTAACAGACTGAAAAATAGTTTTTACAAGAGAGCGGTCGACCTATGCAAAAGAGGACTGGACCTGAGCATTCCCGTAAGTTCCATATGACAGTGTATACAAGCCATGCATCGATCTATGCAAAAGAGGTGACTCGATCTGAGCATTCTCGGAGGTTCCATATGACAGTGTTCACGATCCATGTATCGACCTATGCAGAAGGATGACTCGACCTGAGCATTCCTGAAGATGCCACATGACAGAGTGCAAGATCCATGCGTCGACCGCTCCAGGGGTATGCATCGATGCATAGTTCCTAAACATTGCTTCCAGGATGAGTCGACTACATAGTCAACGCGAGTAAACCCGATATTTCCCAAAGGAGCAACTTTTAATCATGAGTCAACCTGAGCTTTCTTTGAGTCGACTCATAGAATATAAATTTTCAAAAATACCAATTCTTGAAGACTTTTCATGCTACTTTGTCCACCATATCATCTAACAACATTTCCAACATAATTTTGACATCATTGACATCTTTCCCTCACATTATGCACTTTGTAATGTATTTTGTTATGCACTTTGATCCTTTAATGTAATTTGTACTCATGTCTCAGTATGTGCTTAGTTATGCACTTAACAATCAAATTACAAGTTTTTTATACCAATATTGCAAATTATGTCAACTTAATCATAACAAACAAGATTGATAACAATTCAGCACCTACAATTGATAACAAAATGAACATTGAAGCAAGACCTAAAATCACAGTACATTCTCATTACAGATGAATAATTCAGCAACTACAATTGATAACAAAATACACATTTATCATAAATGACACAACAAGACACAACATCTTCAATCTTCCATGAAATTTTCCAGTTTTCAATTTGGTCTTCAAGTTCTTGTTCTCCTTCCTTGATTCTTCATACAAAGACTTCATATATCCCACAGATGCCATGGCTTCCAACTCTGAATTCCTAATGGTAACATCTTCATTTCCAGATTTTACACCAAGATCTTCATCCCATATGAATAGATTACACGTATCAGAACTCTACCAATAAGGACATCTCCAAAACAACCTACCCTTATTTGGTCCATTCTTGCAATAATACAATACCATCCGAACCTGACAACCACAAAACTTCCCAACTCGCGATTTCACAGAAGCAATAGACATTAGCATTATGCAGCTGAAGGATGGCAAAGATGAAAGAAGAAAAAAGGTGAACCACCATACCAACTGAAGCAAAAAGAAGAAGGAAGGTGAACCACCAAACCAACTGAAGCAAAAAGAAGAAAGAAGGCGAACCACCAAATCAACCGGCTAAAGAAATTTCACGAAGAAGATTATAAACGAAAAGGAAAGGAAATGAATTAGGTCAAAATGCATGTGACTCAACTTTAAGAAGGTGTACACGCTGTATGCCATGAAAATATATAAAATAAATTATTTAATCCACCTGTCTTGCCACATAGGAAGCCGTTAGTGGAACTTGACGTTGGGGACCAATTGTCCAGACGAAATTTTTTGAAGGGACCAATCCTTGAAGGAAAATATTTGAGAGACTAAACGAAATTTGAGATATTTATAGGGACCTAAAACTTATTTAACTCTTAAAAATTTAAACTATTTTTTAATGAAATATACAAACTACAAAATTAAAACATAATATATATAGTAGTCTAGTAATGTTTGTTGCAGCAAATTCCATTTCCAGTCTCCACTCCACCGTACCATTCGAACTGAACCTTTAAAATTTACATTCCTCTAAACTATAACTTTCCCATTTTCTTCTTCTTCTTCTTCCAATGGAGAACCACAACAATAACACCGGTTCGCTCCTATCTCACCAACCCGATTCATTCGGCCGGTTCGGCCGGTTTGGAGGCAAGTATGTCCCCGAAACTCTCATGCATGCTCTCACCGAGCTAGAGGCTGCATTCCATTCCCTGGCTACCGATCAAGACTTTCAGGTTCTCTTTTATTTTCTTTTACTTTCTCATATTAATTAACTCTTTATTATATAAGTGCTTATTTTTTAAAGTGCTTATGAATATAATTCATTTTCTACTTCTTTGCTACTAGTTTTGGAAGTTCTTGTCCAATTTTCTAGTTGTCCTTTGTAGAACACTTATCTCATGTATTATCCACCTTTGTTTAATTACCTTTGGATCTCAATACCCGTTTCGATAATTCATAAAACTCAATGGTTATCTTGACTCTTGAGGGACTAAGCGTATGTTTGGTTATGCGGTGAAAAAATGATTTTGAATGAATTGATAATGTATAATTGATTCGGGTTAAAAATGAGTCGTACTTGAGGGACATCATATGTTCTGTTCAGACTTCTGAGGTGAAAAAATTGATTTTGAATGAATTGATTCCGTATTAAATATTAATTGATTCTAGTTAAAAGTGAGTTGAATGTAAGTGGATTATGTTTGGATTCAAAATTGAGTTGAACAATAAATTGAAATGTAAAAATCACGTTTAAAAGCAAAAGCTACAAATTTTAGTTTTAAGTAGAATCAATTATGGAGGCAGAATTAATTCTATTTTGGAAGAATCAGACACCGCAAAACCAATTCTACACCTTTAGAATTGCTTTTTACTATTCCAAAAGCTAAACCAAACATACACTAAGCGTATTTCGGTTCTACAGTGAAAAAAATTGATTTTGAATGAATTGATTATGTATTAATTGATTATGGTTAAAAGTGAGTTGAATGTAAAGTGACATGTTTGAATGCAAAATTGAGTTGAATAGTAAATTTCAATATGTAAAAATCATGTTTAAACTCAATAACTACAAGTTCTAGTTTAAAGTAAAATCAATTTTGGAGGCTGAATCAATTTTACTTTAGATGAATCAAACACTTAAATCATTCAAAATCAATTCTACATCTCTGAAATTGCTTTTGACTCTTCCAAAAGCTAAACCGAACACATCAAAAAGGTTTATGATTTTTGCAGAAAGAGCTAGATGGGGTTCTGAAGGACTACGTGGGTAGGGAGAGCCCACTTTACTTTGCTGAGAGGCTGACAGAGCACTACAAGCGGGATAACGGAGAAGGGCCTCACGTGTATCTAAAGAGGGAGGATCTCAACCACACTGGTGCTCACAAGATCAACAATGCGGTTGCTCAGGCCTTGCTTGCCAAGAAGTTGGGGAAGAAGAGGGTTATTGCTGAGACTGGTGCTGGTCAGCATGGAGTTGCCACTGCAACTGTGTGTGCTCGGTTTGGCTTGGAATGTGTTGTTTATATGGGAGCGCTAGATATGGAAAGACAGGCCCTTAATGTGTTCAGAATGCGCCTTCTTGGTGCCAAGGTATGTTGGTTACCCAATGTCTACTTGGTTATACTTATTCGCTGAGGTTGATACTTAAATAAATTGTGATGTAGGTGAGAGCCGTACATTCAGGAACTTCCACGCTGAAAGACGCTACATCGGAAGCTATAAGGGATTGGGTGACGAACGTGGAGACAACACATTATATTTTGGGTTCCGTTTGCGGGCCACATCCATATCCTATGATGGTAAGAGAGTTTCAAGCAGTGATAGGGAAAGAAACAAGAAAACAAGCATCGGAAAAATGGGGAGGGAAGCCAGATATTCTGGTAGCATGTGTTGGCGGTGGTTCAAATGCCATTGGTCTTTTCCATGAATTTATCGATGACAAAGATGTTAGGTTGATTGGAGTGGAAGCTTCTGGATTAGGCCTCGAAAGTGGCAAGCATGCCGCAACGTTAACAAAAGGAGAAGTTGGAGTTTTGCATGGAGCAATGAGCTATCTTTTGCAGGATGAAGATGGACAAATAATTGAACCCCACTCTATTAGTGCAGGGTAAATTCATAGTGTTGATATTTGGTTAGCATTTCTTGTTGTCTTTTTTAGATTTTCGTATTCAAATACTCATTTCTTTTTTTCGTTGTATAGGTTGAACTATCCTGGGGTTGGACCAGAGCATAGTTTCTTGAAAGATGTAGGGCGGGCTGAATACTACAGTGTTACTGACGACGAAGCACTCGAAGGTAGGATATTGTCTATCTCAGTTTCTTAAAGTTTGTTTGAAAGATTTATTTAAGTTTATCTACCGACATAAACACGTGTTATTTAAGTTGTTTCTACTAGCTGCGTGCACGTCTGTACCTTGTTTTTATCTCATTTGAGTACTTCTGCAGCTTTTAAGAGATTATCTCAATTGGAAGGCATAATTCCAGCTTTGGAAACATCTCATGCTCTGGCTTATTTAGAGAAACTATGCCCTACTCTTCCAAATGGAACTAAGGTTGTGGTTAACTGCAGTGGTAGAGGGGATAAGGATGTTCAAACTGCTATCAAGTACTTGAAAATTTGAAACTATATATGATTGAGTTTCCACACAGGCCACATCATAGTTGATCAGTTCAGCTCTTGATCGGCCGTATTTTCATGTTGAGATTGCTTTGAAGTTCCATGAATTTGAAGAGGATCGATTGCGAAAGAACTCGATTGGGAATAGTTCAGTTTGTGGAAACCGATTGGGAATAGTTCAGTTTGTGGAAACCAGTTTATGGCTAGGCATTTTCTAAATGTTGTTACCATTACGAGGCATTAAAGGATACTGTCATTGTTTTGTTGTAAGAATAAAAGGTAAAACAATTTCAGTTTTGTAGGAACAAAAAATGTAGAAAACTGTAAATGCATTTTGGTTCAGTTGGTTAGGATTTTTATTCATATTCAAATTCTACTACCTAGTATACATGTGTAAGCTGCATATAGGCTTGTTTGGGGTGATTTAACTTATTTGCTTGCTTATTTCTAATAGATGAATCTATCTCCCAGTCAGGGATAAAGGGGCTGTTTAGGGATGGATCAAACTAGATAAGAGAATTTCTTAATGCACCCCGTTTCCATATATCTCTAACGCACCTCGTGAAATTTCAAAAATATTTCCAGATTCTAGAAATTTATTTCCGGACGCACCTCATACACCTACAATTAAATCGTTTTTGCATTATGCTCCATTTTTACGACTAGATTTATTCTGGAAATATATTTCCAGATTCTAAAAATTTATTTCCGGATGCACCTCATACACCTGCAATTAAATTGTTTTTGCATTACGCTCTATTTTTACGATTAAATTTATTCTGAAAATATATTTCTGTAATGTTTGTGGAAATACATTTCCAGAATGTCTAAGTCATCACTGTACATGAATGTTTAAATACTATTTTTTCGACTGCAACAAATATCGATTCCCAAACAATTTTAAATACATAGTTACACTAATATTATATTTATAAAATAATTAATTGATTATGTTCAATTCCCATTAAAAGTTTTTGTTTCTCTTGTCATGTCATTTAATGTTAAAAATCGTCACTTCAACGCAGAACAAATTCATTGGTAAAGTAAAAAGTCATATTTATGGGCTCCATCATATTGTTAAAAATAAATTATGAATTGCAGAGGCCATTCAAATCTGTTTTGTGATACATATATATTTAATTATATTATTTTTAGTCAACATTGAATTGTGCAAAATTTTCTACACATGTTAACTAATGGAGAGATTGTGGAGTCATTTTCTAATTTATTTAAGCATTTATTAAGCAATCAAATGTCAAATATAAAAAATCATAGTAAATTTCATAAATTTTGTATAAAATATTTCTACAAATAATCCTACATACAAAGTTTATAAAAATAAATCGAAAACAATTTTGAAACAAATGTATCACAAATGTTTTTATTTATACTCTTCTAAATATTTATTAAGTTTGTCGTAAAATAAATGCGAATGATCTTTCAAACACCCAAATTTTAATAATATTTTTGCCTTGCTCCTTTGTTAACTTTTAATCTCACGTGTGATATCAGTCTATGGAAACGACTATCACGTGTAAAAACTATAAATTGTCTATTTTATTTAAAATTTGAATGAAACTTGTTTGATAGTTGAAACAATTGGCTCAACCGTCATCCGATAATGAAATATCTACGAAGTCGCTATTGAATGTCTTTTATCTCGCCGAGAGGGAAAGGTAAACATCGAGAAAACCTGAGAAGTGAAATCACGGTCTTGCGATCGAGAGATCGGATAAGGGAGTTTGTTACGTGAGGGGAAGGTATTAGCACCCCACACGCCCGTAGTACTCTACGGTGTTCACTCTTGTTGTCTAATCTAATGGGCGTGTAAGAATCTATGTCTAGGCTGCACAAGGAATGCATGCAAAAGAAAGGAGGAGAAAAAAATATAGGGAAAATAAAAGTTGTGCTCGCTCGGGCCCTACTCCAATGCCTACGTATCCCTTTTAAGGAATCAAAGCAGCCGTAGTTCGACTCATATGTTTTGGATGGTTTGTGTTTTTTAGTTAAGAAGACAAAAGCAACAATCAAGATGGCAAAACATCAGATAAAACGACAAAACATCAACAACAATGATAAAGCAACAAAATAGGATGGCAAGACATCACATGGTAACACAAACTTAGATAAGGTGATAAAACGACAGCATGATAATAAAATATCAGACAAGATGATGAAATAATACACCTAACAATGATATCAAAAATCAAAGTAGGATAACAAACATGCGCGATGGTGAAACATCGGTAACAAACATATGCGATGGCGAAACATCCACTAAAAGATAACAAAATAACATGGCAAAGATGGCGAAACATCAATAGTCCAAATGATAAAACATCACACCTAACAATGATATTGAAAATCAAGATAGGATAACAAACATGTGCGATGGCGAAACATCGGCAATAAACATAGTAAAATATCATGTCAAGGATGGAAAAACATCAATAATTCGGATGATAAAACATCACACCTAACAATGATATTGAGAATCAAAGTAAGATAACAAACACGTACAATGGCGAAACATCGACTAAAAATAGGTGCGATGGTAAAACATTGGCTAAAAGATAGCAAAGGTATCATGGCAAAGATGGCGAAACATCAATAACAAATATATGTGATGGCGAAACATCGACAAAAAGATAACAGAATGTCATGGCAAGGGTGGCAAGACATCACTTTGACAAGATTTAAAACAAAGCCAAAAGGCGCACAAATAAATAAGATTGGTTTGTATTTTTTACCTTGAAGAAGGATTTAAGTTTATTAGAGATATTTTATGATTTTCCAAGAAGAAGTTTTAGTTTTAAGATGCAATATGCAAAGAAAAGAAAACAACTAAGGGAGACTATCCTAATCTCTAGCTCTAATGTTATCATACAATGATTGATCCTAAGGTTAAGGATGAAAAAGAGGAGTCTTTAACCTATGTTAGCATGCATGGGTAAACATCCTAATGTCTAGCTCGAGGACTAACCCTACATGAGCAATCCTAAGGGAGCATGGTAAAAATGTCACAGACCCTGTGACAAAAAAAAAACAAACAAACAGATGGCAAAACATCTGGACAAGCAATGGCTCGAGCATCACTCGAATATCAAACACCTACAAGACGCAGGCCTAGTAGTAGAAAGAGAGGTCCCTCCATAGACAAGCAACCAAACATCAGACCAAGAGTTAATCCAAATCCAAGGGGAGCGTATCACCCGAGTCGACAAACTATAGAATTATAGGAATGCAAAAAGGATCCTTAACCGTGATATCAATTATCAGAGCAAGAAAGATCTGGGAGAGAAGACATAGTGCATGCGTACACTAAGCATTAGTATTGGTCAACACGAGCTAAAGAAAGCGTGGGGATCCGATTGCGGTAACCCTTTTCACTTTCCTTTAAAGGACTTAAATTCATTCAGATCTTGGGCACATGTTCAGAGCATCTACTTATAGAAAGTGAGCATAGGAACGCCATGGACTGGAATGTGCTGGGGTCGATTACGAACCCTTTCCGCTCGCCTTCTTTTGAGGATTTATCACCTGTAATGTAATGTGGGAACAAATATAAACACACGTGTATAATACCTACTTCCAAGATAGGATTTTAAACAATCACAATTAGCACTCTGACAAAATTGCCTTAAACAAGTCTTTAAATAAATCAGAGGGACTCCTGACATATATCAGCAGCGGAGGTCCCATAATGCAATAGAAAGCAATAAAGAGCGGAAACAATAAAAAAGAAATAGTGCAATACCAAACGGATAACTATCTGTAGAAAATGAGCAAGAAAAAAAAAGAAACCCAAAAAACTTCAAGCAAGTTGGCATCAACAAATAAATCAAGTCAGAAATCACGCCATCAAATATAAGCATTGAGGCTTCAAATATGAACATATCCCACAAGTGATGTATATCAGTCACAATCACATATGTATCCTGCAAGAGAATAACAAATATACAAAGCACAAGAATGGTGCAATCACAACCAATTATGTTCCACAAATAAAGTGGGACACTACAACATCAAGTCAAAATGGAAAAACTTTCCTCAAAATACCTCACACATTCAACAGACAAATTAGTGATTTCAAAGAGAAAAGATGAACCAATAAGGGATGAATGATGATATTACAAAGAAATGGAAGAACATGGTAGCAAAGTATCCAAGCAGTAGATGTAAGAAGCATCAAGTAGGCATATGCAAAACTAAAGAACTGTTGCTCCTTTCTTGTCACCATGTTGAATTGACAAGTAAATAGAAATAAAGAATCAAAGGAGCTAGAGAAGAATACAATCAAAGAACTTTGAAGTCAGTAGCAAACACTTCACATACATACTCATTCATTTCATTATGGTTCACAAGCATAACAAAAGAGGGGTACCACAAGATGTATCACAAAGCTTGGATCACAAGTTAGCAAGGCAAGGAATTTAAACAAAGACAAAGTTAGGAGACTTAAACTATTCAAATACTTGAAATAAAGATTCTAAAATGCTATGAGGATATGATCAAGATTTTAAAATGTTAATTCTAAATCATGTTGCACAAGTGCATTTAATATACCTCAAAGATTCAAAAAGAAAAGAAAGATTGAACATCAAATTCACAATAAGATGAAATGGTTCAAGCATTAGAGGTCAAGTGATCTCAAGTATTTATGAGACTATCCTTTATGTATCATTACCTAACATGTCATAATTTGTCATTTGATGACCTCAAACTCAAGCCAAAAGTTCAAAGTTCAAAGCTAAAACAAAAAGAGAACATTACTTAGGAGGCATGAATCAAAAGGGCTCATCAACCAATTATGGAAATCAAGAGGATTGATTTGCATTGGTGTGAGGAAAAAAAATCAACATGATCATTAAGTTCCAAATTATAGGCCTCACATAAGTTCATTGGCCATCAAACAAATTGCAACAAGATATGCAACATCAATTGGGCACTTTCACTTTGAAAATACATCAAAAATAGGAAAGGACTTCTATAATTCAAACAAAA